GGGCTGGGTGCACCTGAGCTGCGCTGTTAACTGGTTAAACAATTGCAATTATCTCGTTAAAGCAGTTACCCTTTTCCCGGGGTGTTTATAGCCCCGCCCTCCAACCGACAGGTGGGCTCTACTAATGATGGGGCTGCAGCAAGGAGAAATGGAGGCCCTGGTGAGGCAGGCTATGCCTGTCATTTCACAGGGCAAGCCCCCGTCCCCCCCCCACACACGGTGCATGCTTGACTACAACAGAAAGGACAAAAACTGCTTAAAGCAGTTACCCTTTTCCCGGGGTGTTTATAGCCCCGCCCTCCAACCGACAGGTGGGCTCTACTAATGATGGGGCTGCAGCAAGGAGAAATGGAGGCCCTGGTGAGGCAGGCTATGCCTGTCATTTCACAGGGCAAGCCCCCGTCCCCCCCCCACACACGGTGCATGCTTGACTACAACAGAAAGGACAAAAACTGCCCCTGAGGAGAGCGCCCGTTTGTTTGCAGGTTGCTTTTATTTACAAATATACTGAAGTGTCATCTCTTTTCCCCCGTGGGCAGAAACACAATGCATGAGGATCTCACAGACCTTAGCTGCCAGGTGACAGCGGCAGGAAAAAAAATGCAGTGACAGGAAAAAAACAAAACCAAAACCACTAATAAATAATTTAACAATGACAAGTAATTAAATAAAAAATCCGCTCTCGACACAGTATGGCGGCTGTTTACCAACACAGAGGGCGAGGGGCCAGGAGCTACCCTGGACGGCCGGTGGTTAATATGCAAGCGCAGTGTCATAGTTTGTACAAGTTAAACAAATTGTAACAGACAGCTACAAAATACTACGTGTTGGTAACATAAATACAGAATATATAAATATACAAGTGATACAGCCATACACAGCTAGAAAAGGGGGCCCACGTGGAAGCGGAGCTCCCACTGCCACAGAGCTGGGGGTCCTTCCAGTCACTGCTAAACGAAACAACGTTGTGCAGCGGCCGCAGCAGCGACTCCAGCTCTGAGCCTGTCTCGGCCTCAGGAGTCACCCGGGTGTTCAGGGAGGCCACGCTCAGCCCAGGAGTCATCCCAGTGCACTTGCGTGTGAGTTCAACCGAAGCCAAGAAGCTTTCAGACCTAGCTCACAGGCAAGCGGGGTTTTCAGTGCCTTGCTGAGCAGTGGGCCTTAATGTGTGCTTAACGAGCTCTGCCGTGGCCGTGCTATTCGTGCACTCGGGGCCACGCAGCGGCGCTGTGCAAGGAGAGTAGGGAACACGGATGGGGGACTCAGACACACAATGCCAGCTGCTCAGTCCCACCCTGCTCAGCGACTCCAGGTGCTGGAGGAATTAAGCACACAGGAGCTCGGGACCAGCGTGTACCTGGAACTGGCTCCGCCGCCATTCTCGTGTGCACACGCTTCCCTCCGGCTCTTGGGACCAGCCCTTGTGGTGACCCTGCAGTGGCATCCGACGGAGTTAGCATGACGTCCCCATGGAACAGACCACCTGTCCAGTAGGAGCAGGGAGTGTGATGTTCCGGGCAGGATGAGGGGTGTGGCTTGGAAGATCACTGATCAGTAGGAAAGGTGACAGGAGATCCTCCTTCGGGAGGTCAAGGGAAGTGGAATTACATCAACCACTCTACGAGGCTGAAGGCGCCTTAATACCCAGCGACTGCATGGCAGAGAGGCCACGGTGCTGCTGATGGGTAGGCACTGGCCGTCTCAAGGAACCCGCTCATGGGGCTGGCAATATTTGCACTACGCACCCAGCGAGCGAAGCACAGTCTGGGCCCCGAGAGCATGCTGCAGCTCACGCCTTGTGCATGCTTAGAAGCACTTGGGCTTGACAATGCCGACACATTTGTTGAGAGAGGAGAGAAAACCCCAAGATTTGTGGGACATGTTCCACCCTGGAGACGGAAACCAAGCATTATAATCAGGACTGGAATTATATTAGAACATAACTATGACGGCAACATAATTTTTCTCCCACTTGATGGACATGAAATACATTTCAGATCATAAAGCCAATTGCTTGGAAAGTAAGGCCACCCCTGTGTCATCACGAGACTGGCAACAGCCTAGGCCTGAGATGAGATGCACATTGTGGGAATCTTCCATTGGCAGTGATGCTACAGAATGGAAACATGCTGGTTAGTTAGTAGGTTAAAAGCATGTGCTGGTGTGTGTGGCCCGGGGCTAACTACCACATCCATCAGTTATCACATCTGATGGAAGGGAAATCTTTGGGGCCCACAATACAACTGTATCATTTAGCATGTTCCTGTTATGATAACCTTTCATTAACTATTATTGAATGAACACAAACCTAATCAATCTTCTTTTCGTTAATTGCATCTTGTCCCTGCTTTAGCCTAACGCGTATTCCTCCTTTAGCTAAACCAGCATGATTGAAATGCTGAGAAGAGCTCACTGGATGTATTCATGCTAGAGAGAGGTTAATTTGCTAGAGAGAATGATCACTGTAAGGTACATGTAATAAACTGCTGTCATGACCTCTACCCTTCAAACTCCCATATGTACAATCACAATTTGTGGTTTCCATGAAAGTGCCAGATGCTAAGAGGCTTTGGCAGGAATTTATCAGTGTGACTCGGTGTAAGATATTACTGCTGTATGGCCCATTACACATTTTACCTTCACCTGATCAGTGACATTTCCCTTGACAATACAAGAGTAAACCAGAAATCAAAAAGGTCAGAGGTTGCTTTATAATATTTTACTGCAGGTCCCAGGTTAAAACCACCATGATCACACTCCTGTGGGAGAATTCGTACTACAAATAAGAGTGACATTTATTTTGTTTTAATGAACTTTGGCCTTTGCCAGATATCACTGGCCTGTGCAAAGTGACTGGCCATGTGTCTGGTTGTGCACCCCCCTTGGCTGGCCCTGGGAATACAACGAGCAGTCCTGTGGCACCTTAGACACTCACCAATGTAAAACCCACGAATGCTGATGATCCTGCCCCTTCGTTAGTCTCCATGGTGTCCCAGGACTGCCGGCTGCTTTTAAAGTTACAGCCTAGCCCGGCTCCCCCGAGACTGGGAACATAGTGCGTCACGGCAGCCAAGAGTGCGTGTACAATGCACCTGGTCCCAGTCAGAGCAGAACGTGGGGGGCACACGGCACCCACAGGCACAGCTGAGAGCGGCGTCAGACCCGCACTGCTGCCCATGCAGCGCTGCGCTGGTGCCATGCAAGGTCACTGGCCCTCCAGTGCTGATTCCTGTCTGGGCAGTGGATTTCCTCTGCCATCAGCCGGCCCGAGAGGTAGACTGGGAGCAGGGCTCTCGCTTGACTCAGCCATCTCGCAGCTCTCACCGACTGATTGGGCACTGGCCTCACGCGGCCTGGCTGGAGCTCATGTGGCTGGGTACAGTCCATACGCAGCAGAGGGAGGAGCGTGAGAGGACAGCTCTGCCCTAGGTGTGTGCTGGGGTTGGATTACTGCTGTGAAGGGGTAGTTACAAATGGCTCCAATGTGCCACGTGAGACATGCGCTCCTAATGCAGCCCACGGAGACGGTCATCGAGTTCTTTGCAGACACCAGCAGCTGTGAGGAGGGGTTTTTGGTAAAGCATCAGGGGAAAGCTGGTCGTGTCTGGGTGAGAAGAAAAGCAGCAAAGCCTTTTCCTCCCAATCGCCAGGAGATGGCCAGTGGGCTCCCGGGGAGAAGACAGGTCCTGGCGAATGCGAGCAGCTGGGACTGACCCACGACTGCTGGGAGACATCAGGCTGCAATTGGGACTACGTTCTCTTGGAGGTAGGAGAGCCACACGCAGCAGCAAGGGGATGGCTTGAGCTTGTTAGCCCAGAACAGCAGGGCTCTGTGGGGGTTGGGACGCTGTGCTGGGGCCAGCAGAGCCCTCAGGTGCGCCATCTCACCTGCATGAGAGGAACACGCTCAGAAGCCACTGCTTGAGTGCCCCGGGGGGGGGGGGGGGAGGGACTCCGTTGGGAAAGGAGTGGCTGGTTTACTCTGCCACCCTTTGGTGGTCTGTGGCTGTTTGCCGCCTGTTCAGTGCCACGGGCAGAGTCGATCACCTGCGAGGTAAGATGCGCCGGCGCTCTCTTGGCTCACGGGCGGCAGGCCACTTGCCACAGAGCAGCACAGGTGCAACGTTGGCTGACTCGGTTCTTTCTTGCCCTGCAGAAAGGAGCCCTTGCTGATTCAGAACGGGGCCGACTGCCACAGCAGCCAGGACCCATCTCCAGCAGGAACCCGCAACACGCTGCCCCATGTAACTCGACCGCTGAGTCTGTCCTTTGTGGCTATGGACCATCAAAGCAGCACGCAGGGCCTTGCGGCCACGTGCAAGACACCTCCGCCTGCCCATGCATTTTTGCATAGCGCACTGTGAAGGAGAGAGGCCAACGGTCTAGCTTTCCACGCAGTCGTTTCCTTCCCAGTGCAGCGCTCCAATCAAACCAGGGGCTTCCGGAGAGCTGGGTGGTCCATCCTTCCCAGGCTTTGCTCTTGGCCTGCACCATGTGCCACACACAAGGAGGCAAATTAACCAGCACACTGAACTTGGTGTAGGTCGGCCTGGTCAGCCTTTGCAACACATCTATTGAGGAATGGGCCTGACTTACCTAAACTCTCCCTCCTCACCAGGTCCTTACTCTTTGGGAGAACACCCCATCATTACTCCGACTGCTTTGCCCAGTTGTTCCTCACTAAGTCTTCTTCATTATGAGAAACGCCCTTATGTGTCTGCCTCTCCACCTGATCAGTAATGTTTCCAGGCAACAGCTATCACAACAACGCTATTATCAGGTGTTATGCCCGACTACAATCTACAATGGCTGCTCAAACGTCAGCCAGGGCTGTTGAGACCATCCTCTGTGTCTCTGCATTTCCTTGCGTTTCCACTAGCGGAGGCCTGGAGGCTACCCTGTCACAGCAGGGACTTGCCTAAGCGAGATCAGACCTGGGCAGAGCCTTCCCCCGTGCTCGGTGTGTCCTTTGTCTCATTTCCAGAGACTTCTCATGGCCTGAGCTAGGATCTGAGATCTGGCGCTTTCCTTGGGAAGGGGAGCAAATTAACTAACGGGGGCCTTAATTATTCCAGATGGACAATGGAGTGTAGCACATTTATGTCTCATGCCAAACCGAAATAAACAGAAGAGAATGAACACCACATGGCTGCCAATCACCGCCTGGGCTTGAAAGTTGGTGTTCAGTTACTTACAAATCAAAGGAAATGCTTTATTCTCACACGTTACAAATTAAATAAAGCTTTGTGTCGTGTAAGCACCTTTCGTTTAATTATTCAAGATTAATACTCATCTAAATGCATCTGTCCCTAACATGCAGCTTCTCTCCAGGGTCACAGACCTTTCTCAGTTATGAAATCACTGGCGTCTCCACAAGGCGTATTGTTAACCAGTTTTTCTAAGTCTCCTACGGACAAGGGCTATAAACTAAGGAGCAGATCGAGGGGGATGTAGAAAAAGTGTAGAAAGGAAACAAATGTTGAACGTCACATTTACATTAACTTCTCACAGTTCAAATGGCAATTTGTCCACAACATAGCATGAGTCATGCAGTAGGAGAGGGGAGGAGTCTCCAGTTTCTTTGATTTATTCGTCATATGGTCGACTGATGTCAGTATCAGTGGCTTTAAAAAAAGTTTAAATCTCCAAACGAAAGGACGAAAGAAGGAGGCCAACGGTCTAGCTTTCCACGCAGTCGCTCCCCTTCCAGTGCGGTGCGCCAACCAAACCAAGGGCTGCTGGACAGCTGGGGCTTCCATCCTTTCCAGGCTTTGCTCCTGGCCTGGGCTACGCTGGATCATCGAGGCTGTGTGTGTGAGCGTGTGGGAAGGGGTGGTTGGTAGGTTGGCTGATTGATTTAATATATGGTCCTCTTGAAAATGCTCTTGGCAGTCCAGAGGCAGCAGGGATCACGGGGAACATATGGCTGTAGAGTCTGCTCTGCAAAACGTCACTTCCTAAAGACACGCCAGCTATCTGTGTTGGTTTATTAGTATTATTTTCATGAGGCGAAATATGAGCTCTGCATAGAGTACAGCCTGTCAATGGGGTTTCCTACTCTAGCCTGCATGGAGTTAACTTCTGAGGAGGCAAGGAAACAGTCGCTCAAGCTAGTCAAAGAGGTATCACTGTCGATATCGTGGAAAATGGAGTCGTTTCCTGCAAATGAAATGTACACATTAAGCTTGGTTCAGCGCAGAGAAATACAGAGTCAGGGTTCTCAGGCACGAGGAAGCACCCTCTCTGTTGAGTGGAAGCACAAGCTCATACATTTTGTGTTTGGTTTTCCTAAACTAATATCAAATATCTTTCTGCCAGGCTCCGCTCTTTACAAGCACTGGCGATCAAATTCTAGATGTTCTGGTGGCTTTGACATTGCACAGGAGGAAATCACCAGGGCTTCATGTACGCCGCTGTCTCCAGCGCATAAAAACCCTTCTCTAAGGCTACGTCTAGACTGCAGGCTTCATTCAGAAGAACCTTTTTTGGGAAGAGACCTTCTGAAAAAACTTCTTCTGAAAGAGAGCGTCCACACTGCCAAAGCGCATCGCAAAAGCCAGCTGCTTTTCCAAAAGATAGTGTCCATGCAGAATGGACGCTCTCTCGCATTTCAGCTGGGATTACTATGGACGGAGTGGCCACCAGGGCACCTGTGCTTCTTCCTCTTTCCTCTTCTTGGGAAAGAACTCCTTCTTCCCCGTCCACACACGCCTTTTTCCAAAAGAATTCTTTCGGAAAAAGGCTTCTTCCTCGTAGAAAGAGGTTTACCAACACCGGAAAAACCCCTCTGTTCTTTCGATTGACTTTTGGAAGAACGCGATTGCAGTGTGGACGTAACTCAGGTTTTGTCAGAAAAACAACTGTTTTTCCGACAAAACTCTGTAGTGTAGAAAGACCCTAAGTGACATGAGCAGACAAGCAGCCGAAAGTAGGAAGGGTCGTCTGCATCCCACAACAGACACGCTTGGCAGCCAATTAATGCAAGATCAGGTCCCCCAGGCCGACAATGGAAATGGATCTTTGGCAATGACAAAGAGTGGTCCTTGTGCGGACACAGGCCAGTCACAGCTGTATCTGCAAAGGCAGCGGCGTTCTGTTTTGGAGCAGACCGTTAGCTCCTTTCATGGCTGAAATGCCACCTGACCACCTGGGCAGTCCCCACAAGGTGCTGAGCAGCACTCAGCTGAAACGGTTGTGCTTGATATTTCTTTGTGTTTGATATGAGACACCAGTCCTTCGCTGGGGATTCACCGAGAGCAGAGCAAAATGTCAGCTGCCAAACCCAACCCTTCCAAGTTCTCTGGGCTTCAAGTTTCTTGACCAAATACACTTTAAATTCAAATAAAATACAGGACTATGTAGCACTTTAAAGACTAACAAGATGGTTTATTAGGTGATGAGCTTTCGTGGGCCAGACCCACTTCCTCAGATCAAATAGTGGAAGAAAATAGTCACAGCCATATATACCAAAGGATACAATTAAAAAAATGAACAAATATGAAAAGGACAAATCACATTGCAGAACAGGAGGGAGATGCAGGGCGGGGGGGAGGAAGGAAGGTAAGTGTCTGTGAATTGCTGATATTAAAGGTAGGGAGAGTGGGATGTTTGTGAGTTAATGGTATTACAGGTGATAATTGGGGAAACTGTCTTGATAATGGGTGAGAAAGTTCAAAGACTTGTTAAGTCCCTGGTGGTAAGTGTCGAATTTTAACATGAATGACAGTTCAGAGGATTCCCTTTCAAGTGCAGATGTAAAAGGTCTTTGTAGCAGAATGCAGGTGGCTAAGTCATTTAGAGAGTGTCCTTTCTGGTTAAAGTGGCAAGAAACTGTTTTCTCTTTGTGATCTTGTCTAATATCTGTTTTGTGGGCATTAATCCTTTGGCGAAGTGTCTGAGATGTTTGTCCAATGTACATAGCAGACGGACACTTTCGGCACATGATAGCGTAGATTATATTTCTGGATGCGCAGGAATATGTGTTCTTGATCTTATAACTCACTTGGTTAGGTCCAATAATGGTATCAGCAGAATGAATATGTGGACAAAGCTGGCAACGGGGTTTGTTGCAAGGGAAGGTACCAGGGTTGGTATTAGTGTGGTATGTCCTGTGGTGGTTGGTAAGAATCATCTTGAGGTTAGGTGGTTGTCTATAGGAGACTATGGGTCTGTCTCCCAGAGCCTCTTTGAGTATGGTATCCTGTTCCAATATAGGCTGTAGTTTATTGATAATGTGTTGGACAGGTTTAAGTTGGGGGTTGTAGGTGATGACAAGTGGTGTTCTATTGTTGGTTTTCTTGGGTCTGTCTTGAAGTAGATGGTTTCTAGGTATTCGTCTGGCTCTTTCAATTTGCTTTTTTGTTTCTCTGGGTGGGTAGTTGAGATTTATAAATGCTTGGTCAGACCTCTCTGATTCACTGATGGACCTGCTAGGTGTGCACACACCTCTCTGCAACAACCCCACAGTCCACAGCACGGTCTGCTCCCCCCCGCTGCCTGCACGTCATCCCACGAGCGCTAGTGTGTATCCCACTCTACGGCAACATGCCTCTGCCTCCCAGAAGCTCAAGTGACGTAACTGAGGCGTTCTGGGCTGCAAGGTCACTCAGCACAGCCTGAAAAACCCTCTTAAATCATATTGAAATTCAGATCTAAGTCTCAGAACAGCCATGAAGCTTCCTACGTTTGTGCAGCACTTGCCGTACATGTCGGAAGTGCCGTTGGTGAGGGAGAGAAACGGGCAGGCACTGGTAATCCTAGAACACTAGAACGGGAAGGGACCTCGCGAGGCATCGAGTCCAGTCCCCTGTCTAGACCAGTGTTTGTCAACCAGTGGGACGGGTACCTTTGGGGCACTCGAGAGACGTCTGGGGGGTACGTCAACACAACTGAAACTTGGAGAAAACGGAATTTTTGTTGTAAGTTTTACAGTGCTTTATTATTTTTGTATTTTTTACACCCAAAAATTTCATCGCCTGCCTGGCTACAATTAAGTTGTTTAAACCAATATGTTGCCATGGTAGAAAAGTGTCTGAAAACTGAAGGTACTAGGGGTACTTAGAATTTTTTCTTTTGAAAAAGGGATACTTTATAAAAAAAGGTTGGAAACCACTGGTCTAGACCGTAACTGTCTTAGCTCAGAGTGGTACATGAACCAGGGAGGCGTCCTCTGTCCTGGCAGGGCTACCAGCAATGCAAGAGCTGCTCTTCAACAAATCTGCGCCTAGAGTTGGAGAGAGCTTGGGGACAAGATCACTTCCCCCTGTTGGAGCATGCAGCAAAGTGAGCTCTGTGGGAAAGGCAGGGCTGTGAGGCAGGCGGAGAGGGGCGAGGAGGCTCTCTGTCTGCTGGCTGCTCGCTGGGCTGACTCTGCGGGGGGCGGGGAGAGGGGATGCTGCTGGACTTGTAATGCCTAAGACCTGTGTTTGGAAGTATCTGCTGAGGGTGCCCGGGGCAGGTTACTCCTCCCATTTTTGTGCAGATAAATAACAGGAGTAAAAGCGCCCAGGGTCACTGTGCTCGGGGGCCAGTGTGGGAAAAGGAATCCCTAGGCTGGGCCTTTGGCGCCCGACGCGTCGTGCGGGGAAGTGGTTCTCCTGGCGCGGCGTGGGCCCGGCCTTACCATAGGGGTTCATGTGGTCGCCTGGCATCTGCGGAGGGGTGAGACCTTGCTGGAAGGGGTCCGTGCCGTAACTGCTCTGATCCATTGCTACAATCTGTTGCTGTGGCGGGGCCAGTGGTGTGTAAGGGGTCATCATCCCTTCCATCCGGTTGGACAGGACTTCTGCAAAACAAAGCGCGGAGCCATTGGCAGCGTGGCAAGGGAGCAGCACACAGGGGCCTCGGAGGCCAGCAGCAACCACACCCTCAGGGCCAACCTCTGGCTGGGCCCAGAGCTTGGGAACCGGCAGGGCTTGGGCACCCTGTCCGCTGGGGCGGCTGTGCGGGGCCAGGACACTGCTTTGCCAAGGCAGAGTTAGGCACTCAGCACCCTGCTCCTCCTAACACTGCGAGTGCGGCTGTTAGCGGCCAGCTACAGCCAGAGGCCCCGCAGTTCGGCTCGCTCCCGGAGGCTGCACTGTCAGTGGCTGGCGTCCCACCCGACTCCTTGGAAAATCGGATCTTCTTTGGGGGTGAAACCTGGACCCTTAATGACGGGGCCAGAAAACATCTTTTCTCTTCTCTTGCTGATTCCTGGCTCCTGGCAGTGGGGGGAGGAGGGGTGGCAGAATGAATGCTGCTCTTCCGGGGCTGCACTAAGCTTTGCAGGAGGGCCACTCCGCACATTTTGGGCCCGTCATCATGGGACAGCTGTGGGCCCCCAGAAGGAGCGGGGATGGGGGCTAGAGAGAGAGAGTTTGTGTGTGTGAGAGACAGACAGAAACTTACTGACAAGATTGTGTGTATGTGAGGCACAGAGACTGGGAGTGTGGGTATGTGAGGGGGATCGTGTGTGTGGCACATTGTGGGTATGTCTGCACTACATGGCTCTGGCGACGGAGCCATGGAGATGAGCTTTGTAGACATAGCAAAATGAAGAGTCAATTTAAATAATCGCCGCTTCATTTACATCAAAATGGCTGGCGCGCTAAGCCGATCAGCTGTTTGGCAGCACAGCGCGGCAGTCTGGATGCTCCGCGGTCGACATCAAAAGCCTTTGTCGACCGCCCCGGTATGCCTCGTGGGTTGAGGTTTACCGGCAGCACCGAGCGATGTCAGCTCTATGGACGTATGCATGCTCCTGCGTACGCCCCTCCCCGCGGGCTGCAACAAACCCACCACCCCCCTTCCCCTCCCCTCCCCGCGGGCTGCAACAAACCCACCACACCCCTTCCCGTCACGCAGCTTCCATCGCGAACGGGCCTTTACCTTGTCCTAGGCGCTGAGAGTTCTGCTGCTCCTGCTGCTGCTGATGCCTTCGTGCCAGTTTCTTCATCTGAAAGAAACAGGAGACGCCGGCTAAGCTCATGGATCCGAGCAGAAAGAGCTGGCTAGTTCCAGCCCTCTGTGCAAACGTCAGCCCTGTCAATGCAGAGTGCGCCCAGAGGGGGTTCAACTGTCAGTCCTGGGCACAGGCCCTAGGGGCTTGCGGTTCCGTGTTTCCGTATCACAAACAAGTCCTCAGCGAGCATTGCTTGGACCGTTCTGCTTGAGGTGCAGATGTCTGGCTTTCCTGCAGGAGCGTGGCCTGTGCCGCACCTCCATAAGCATGTTAGGGGCCCACAAGTCACAAAGCGGTTTTATAAAACTTAATTCCTGCCCACTGATCTCAGCCACAGACCTGACAGCCCCAGCGGAACATGTGCTCTGGAACTGACTTTCGAGAGGTGGGCAAACAACGCACCTTTGCTCTTTGGTTCTGGAACCAGACCTGGACAACTCGTACGCTGAGTCCTGTTTCAGCTGCTAGCGTTTCTCTGACCTATGGAAGGGAAGGGTTAAAGAAGAATGAACTTTCACCTCCGTAGGTGGGTCAGGTAGAGATCACATCGCTATTTTTTTTAACCTAGGAAACAGTGATTTGCAACTTTGGCTAAGAATAAAATGTTGATATTTTGGCCCAGTAAAAACAATTTCTCACCGTGAACAAAGGCAAATGGAAACCCTGAGACACATCACACTTATCCCAAGGGACACATTTTCTAAGGATGAAGACAAATGTCATTTTTTCACAGTGAAGACACACTTCAGACAGCCAAAAAAAAAAAAGAGTAGAAACAGCAGAGTATGTTGCTTTCAAAAGAAGAGATTTTCTTCCAGTTTCACCAGTGATTCCAATTGCTTTTTTCCACAGTCCTTTGCGCTATAAATGACTAAACACCATGCCTGTAGAGCCACGGCTGGAACAATAACTACAGAAATGGGGATGGGTGTTCATCTCCTTGGAAATGGAGGGGACACATGCAAACAGTAAATGATCAGTTCATGTTTTATAAGCAAATGTTTGACCAAACATTTCCCTTCTGTAAGAATCTTCCACTGGCCTTGTGTTCTATGGGTTACCGGCAGAAAACCACATTGCGTTCGGGTCTCTGCTAACGAGCCTACCTTTCTGCAAGGCTTTGAGGACACTTCAAAGGATGCTTTGAATGCTCTTCTCTGCTGTGTTGTAAGTATTGTCCTTGGCCGTTTGGGTCTTCTTGGGTCTTTCCCATCATCGCTTCCTTTTCCTTGGCTTGCTTGTCCTTTGGTTGGTTTAACATCTCCATCCTCGTCGTCACTTTTAACTGTTGAGAAACAAAAGTTATTGGAACATTCTCTTTGGTTTGCTACAAGACCAGGACTTTGGAATGGAATATTAATGGAGTCATACTATAACCCCTTAAATAACAAACTCGGCTATTACCCTTCATCTGTTTTAAAACTGAAAACGAATCCTTAGTTGGATGATACCATGATACACAGAACCTTGTGTATAAACTCCCAGCCAAAAGCCTGCAAGCAAAGAAGTACACGTCACTGTAACTGCACTCAATGGGTCGACTTGTGTGAATATCCTTAAACATTTGCAGGATCAGGCCCTGTCGATGATTTTATGATGTACATTACATGACTTTAAAAATGGTAGTTACCTCTAAGGCTGCGAAACAAAAAAATTTAAAACATGTTATTAAAAATCTAAAAGCTCTTTTAATCAAATCTATGCTGTTTAAAATTGGTTGTTTTTATTATTTTGCAGCCCCAGAGGTAACATTGTTTCCACATTTTTGCCTATTATGAAACGAGCAGACCTGTAGCATCTTAGAGACTCTCTCGCTAGTATCATGAGCTTTCGTGGGCAAAACCCATTTCCTCAGATGAGAGACTTAGGAATTTCTAGTATGGAAAACCTCAGTCATTTCTCTCAGTGCAGTGCACATATGTGTGTGTGGCCTATGCATGTCTCTCTCTAGGCGTGAGTCAGCCTGGGTCCATAGATGTGCATGTTAGACTCTGTGAATGTGTATTTATAGCATAAATACATTTGCATTTCTATTGTTATATTTGAGCAGCCTTGTGGCCTGATCATGCACTGAGCAGGAGTGGTTAGCAGGGGGAAATCCCAACTGTCATGCCAAAGGGTTATGAGTAAGTGCATATTTTTGTGCTGCCTGAAATAACTTCTGTGTCCGCATCAAGATCTGTGGCCAAAATGGATCATTCGTAGCAGTCAAATGGGGTTAGTTTGTATGAATTTCCCTGCAGCATTGATTTTTATCGAAAAAACTTCACTATACTATTGTGAAGGGCTTTAAAATGAAGAAATTCTCATGCTGATGCATTCAAATATTGCATTTGGGGAACTGACAAAATGGACTTTCAATTCATTTCAGGAGCTGATGAACATGCGCCTACCAGGCATTCCAGTTCAAGAGGCGTCTTTTGTATCCTGATTAGAGAGCAGTTCTATGGTCTATGGCTGGCTTGGGAAGGCTCATGGTTGCTCACGGGAGAGTTATTTTTGTGGCCAGCAGATAAATATTTGGAGAAGAAGATGCCTGGGCCAGAACTGGGTGAAATCACGTGCGCACACAGAGGGAAAGGGGCTTAGCGCGTTCACTGTTTGAAACAACGGAAGGGAAAATGTCTCGTGACACTTTATGGGGGGAGGATGGGGTAGGACTCAAGGTTCTTTGTTAATGAAAAAATACTTCTCAGTGGCTGGCGATGCTACAGTGGGTATCATGGGGAGTAAAGCTGAAACCCAATGCCCAGCCTGCCTCCTTAATGGCCTCCAGGCCTGCTGATTGACCATGGCACACAAGGAGACTGTGCCTGCGAGGGAGGGGTGTACATCAGTGTCAGGAGTAGGCAACCGCTGCCCGTGTGCGGTGATGCTAACACACAGCATGGGCGTGCACGAGGGTCCAGCCACACTGCGGCTGTACAGCAGACACCGTCAAAGACAGATAGACATGTGCCTGGGGACTGGGGATTTCAGTGGGCAGTGTCTGCGTGAGGCCTCCATTTACCTGAGCGAGCTTCACACAGAGAGAGCATCCTATCTGAAAAGCAGCAGGCAACCCCCATCTCCTGGACGAATCCATTCTAGGGGCCAGGAACCTAAACATGGACGTTTCTGGTGCCAGGACTCTGAGGGCCTACCAACAGGGCCTGGCATGAAATGAAACCAGCGTTAGGAACGGCTTGAGAGCTGCGCACCCTTGGGAGGGGGGGCCTTTGCCTGGCGACATTCCTGCCACGGAAACGCAAAACGTTCGCGACGGGGAGGATGGGTCTCAGAGCAAAGCTCCCAGGTGCACAGGGAATTGTCCCCAGAAAACAGAAGCGCGGATCCATCTTGCTTGTACATTGACTGGAATGAGACCCGCTGCTTTTCCAAGGCACTTCCTCGGCAAGAAGCGAGCGGTTCCAGTGACTAGCCATGGTCTGTCCGCACCCTGGGAGCCAGACACAGCACATCAGCAGGGAATGGCTGAGGCAGAGAGCGCTCCCATGGCCTGGAGCCTGCCCTCTGCTGAGACCAGAGCTGCCCCGGCTCAGAGCACGGCACCATCAGTCACTCGGCCGCTGCCTGGCGCTGCTCCCGTGGCTCGCAGTGGAGGGCAGGCAGGGTTGCTCATTCCCCAGACAATCTTCCTGGGAATCTGGTTGAGAAGGGAGGAGACTCCTCCCCCGTAATTCAGGACGCTGGGCCCAGGCCCATGGGCTGCTCTCAAAGACATCCCAGGACGACTGCACTGGAAGTCACTGGACGTTTTCTTCCAGAGGACACTTAAAGGGGAGGCAGATGTGGGCGGGGCTCCCCAGAGGTAGTTGGGGGGTGCAGATCAGAGTCTCTCTGTTCGAGGGCATGAATCGCAAACATGCATGCTGGAGGGATCAGGCCCCAATTTGGGACATGCTCAAGGCAGAACTAGTCGTTTGCGGGCGACTCATGGCAGCGCTCGAGTTTTTGGGGTGCAGCGAGGTGGGTGTGTCGCTTGCCCCATTTCTCTGCTGCTGGTGGGACATCAGAAACAGGCTCAGGAGAATGGGAAGGGGGACGGGGCTAATCTAGCCCACCAGCAAAATGCTAGGCTGGGAACAGCTGCTGTTGTAGCTGGGAAGAGGGTTCTCTCCCCGCCTGGAATTGCAGGGTGAAGGGCTGGCCTCAGAGCAGGGGATCATCAAGCCTCCCTTTGGCCTGCACATCAGTGAACTGAGGAGAAGCAGCTGAGACGCCCGGATCTCTCTCTCTGCGGGATGGGGCAGAGGGTCGCGCGCTCCGTCTCAGTCCAAGTGCTGCTTCTCTGGCAAAACGGAGCCGTGCTCACGTCTGGGACAGAGACCCACCCAGCAGGGCTGCAATCAGTCGCAGGATTTTTTTTTTATAAAAAGGAGAAGTAATTGTTCCAATCTACCACGTGGCCCTTGGAAATATATTTCCCGTCACTCACGTTTATCTCCTATGACTGTAACACTGGCTGGAAGCGTCTGCTTGGTGAGCTGCGGCAAAGTTACTAAACCAAATGTTGTGACTCTAGGTGGCGATGTTTGGAGGGACCAGCTCCCCAAATGCCCAATCTGGATTATTTTTCTGTATCAAGTTTTTTACGTGAGCCCCTCGGTCCTGCCTCGACCGACTGCGGGACTTCCTCGCAGTGGCTCTCGAGCAGGGGTACACAGACCTCTGCTGGGGAACCTCAGCTCATCTAGCTATTTGCCTAGTTTTACAACAAGCACTAGCAAAGGCAGTGCCAAGGAAGATTTCATAGGGACAGTGACATGTTTGCACTGCTCTGTGTGCCAGGCACAAGATTTATATTCCAATCCATGTATTTGATCATTCTATGGTAAACAGGAGAACGTTGGCAATTTCCCAGTGACCGTCTGGCTGTGACACTTTGTATTTTTAGCCCTGATTTTGTAAGCAAGCAGTTTGTGAGTGAGACAGACGTGGGGGCGGAGAACCCAGAAAGGGGGACAGGAGCATGGAAAGGTTGAGAGCCGGTGGCTAGCGGACACAACACCCCTGCTGTCTCCCTGCTGCCATGCCGCACTAGTGCCACTACTGGGATGCAAAACTCAGCCCTGGCTTTCCTTCAAGCCCCTGGCCGTTTTGATCCCACACGTGTGCCTTTTCTTAGCATTCCCGTGTGTGTCCGACAAAGACACGTAGCCAAGGGAACCTTGGGACTTTACATCACTCTGGCCACACGGCATGGGTGCGGTGCAGGTACAGTGAGTTGTCAATGCTGAGGTAGGACATACGGGTGGATGAGACAACCCCGATCTCTTATATACAGACTCCCACTGAGAGTGTTAGGCTGTGAGGCAGGTAACACAAACCAGGCAGCTCTGCCCATTCCCGGTTTTATACAATTTCTCGTTTGGATCTTGGCAACTTGTCAGTTACTCTTGCCCTTCACTGAGATGGGGAGGACACTGAGCAATGGCCTGAAGCAATGGAAGGAAAGATCTAGGGACACTATGCATCCTGCAGGCAGCTGGTGGGCCACTGGTGGGCCGCCGGATGCTTTATTTACCTGCACATCCGCAGGTACGGCCCCTTGCTGCTCCCATTGGTTGCAGGTCGCTGTTCCCGGCCAATGAGAGCTGCAGGAAATGGTGTCCCGGTCTGCGCTCCCATTGGCTGGGAACGTTGATCCACAGCCAACAGGAGCTGCAAGCGGCTGTGCCTGCAGACGTGCAGGACAATAAAGCAACCGGCAGCCTGCCAGGGGCTAACCCTGGTGAACTGTGCCTAGCCTGCAGGCTGCTTCCTGCCCACCCCGGTCCAGAGAGCTATTTGGGGATGGCTCTTAGCAGGCAGGGCACAGAGGCCAAGGCACCAGCACAATGGACTCTGAACGAAAGGGCACCTCTGAGTGGTCGACAAAACCAGACTGAACGATTGGCCCCGGGAGCTCTTCTTCCACTGCCCCGAGCCTGTGGGTCAGGGTGACTCACTGTCCCACCCTGCTTTGCCCGCCTGTGACTCTCAGCTGGGACAGGCGCAAGACGCGCTCACCTGAGTCAGAGTCGTCGGGGCTGACGGAGCTCAGCAAGTCCTTCTCCTTTTCATAGTCACTTTTGCAGAGCAACTGTCCTTCCTTCAGAACAAACTCGTCCCCTTTCCGCAGCTGCCGCTCACACACGCAGCAACAGAAGCAGCTTAAGTGGTAGACGCATTCCAGGGCTCTCATCACAAACTCCGTGGGGGCGATCTTCTCCATGCAGCCACTGCACTTCGCAGCAAACAGCCTGGGAGCAGGGAAGGGAGGAAGAAGCGTCAGCACATGCACCACATTCACGTCAATATCAAAACAGGCCGAGAGATCAGCCGGCTTAGCGCATTGGGAGCCCTCTAGTGACAGGTGAGCATCGGTAACTTCCGAGGGGGCCCAGCTCAATCCCTTTGGTATCGAAATCCCCTGAGCTCTAGTTTTCTTGTGAATTTTCTAGGACGTTTTGGTTTAGATGAAAACACAGGTTGAACCTCTCTAGTCCAGCACCCTCAGGACCTGACCACTTCTGAACAAGAGAATTTTCTGGACTATGGGAGATCAATATTGCCTAGCAGCATTTCCAAAACTGCCACTGCTTGCTGGGCTCTTAGAAGACATTTTAGGGGTCAATCAGAGCTAAATAACAGCACAACACTCTGAGAGCCAGGACTGGTGGCTGTAAACAAACTTTACGAGACTGCAGGAAACGTGGCCACACCCATAAAAAGTGGACATCCAGCTAATTAAAGTAATTCCAGACAATGGATGTTTCTGGATGAGAGAGTTCTGGATTGGAGAGGTTCAACCTGTACCAAAAGAGTCGCCTTTGACTCAATATGTGGTTGTTGCTCCATCAGGAATGAAACCAGGAATTCCAGAGGTACACGGATAAAGGGGAAAATGCTGCTTAATCTCTCGGAAAGCTCTAAACAAATTCACTCCAGTTCCACTTTTGGAGAAAGATTTGAGTCCAACCGTAGGCTACCCAAACTGATACCTTCCCCAGCATGTGCCGCTTTGTAATGATACTGTCCTACGAGAGCTAGCGCTGCCTGCGGTGACTAACAAAGAAGCATTGAGAGAAGAAAGGGAACCGTTGGAGGAGGGGGGGGGGACGATTCTCTGGGCCAGGTGAGGGGAATAACACGCGTTTTCTTTGGGCTGTCGAAGTCATTTCCAGACTAACCTGTTTTGGAGGAGGCAGTTTACCTTTTGGAAGGGTGTGAAACCCCCTCTGGCACCTGCGGAGGTACACAGCGTCTGACTCGCTGAACCACCAGCTTAATCACAGACTCCACAACCCTGCCACACTGCGTGGGACTCCGCACTCTCCCCAGCTGCTCCCTTTCCGAGGCGACGCGTGAATCATTTCCTTTCGCTTGATTTTCCTTCTCCAGGGTGCTGGGTGCTTCTAACTGTGAGCAGGGCGATACACAAAACTGCCAGGGAAAGCCTGGTACTAGCGCCATGTTTCCAAGGCAATGAGCAGCACGAAGGTATTTGTACAGTAGCCTTGCTCTGCTCTGCTCACAGGCAGAAGAAAAACAGACCCTTTGGGTTTTTTCCCTCTCTTTGATTGTAACAGTTGGATGGGCTCCCTTTCAGGTCACGTGCCCTATCGTGGCTGCTAGATACATGCCTCTCACAGGGCTTCATTTTGTCTCCGCTGAGGAAATACAGCAAAATGGCAGCTACTAGATCTTGAGTGACAAGGCAGGCTCGGGGTTGGGCAGGGAGGGAGAGAAATGTAACATGCCTGTATATTGTATGTGTCTCACACACCAGCCAACCAGCTCTTCTTTGGACGTGGAATGAACCAAGCCCAACCAATTGAGTCCGATGCCCTGTGCGCGAGGGCACCTCCCGTAAATAAGGCCATTTCATTTGCTACAGTACATTGGATTTTCCCATTGCTATTTTTGGTTCTAGATACAAACGATTAAGAGAGGGAGAAAATCGGACCAGACATTTGTATTGGTTGACTTGGCACAATTATAAAGAGGCGATAGCTGGTCAGCCCCCAAGAGGAAACATTTGGTGCCCACGTGTAAGAAAGTAGCTAAAAGGATTGGAGGGCTCAGCGAGGAGGAATCCCTCCCAACTGCTTTACAAACCACTTGCATGTACCTGTTTAAACCCGGGTGGCTCGGTTTAATTAAGCTTGGAACTTCTGCCTACAGAGTTGTTGGGACGGAACAAGCTTGAAGAATGGGAAGATGAGCCAGGCTGGGGGAGGCATCGGACTCCTCCCACTGGCATCGGTTCATGACGCCCTTGTGACCGGAACCTGTGCTTGCTTCAGGACCAGGAGGGACCGGCCCAGCCGGGGGCGGGCTCTGTGGGGGAATGTCAGCCGCTGCGCTCACAACCTCCCCAACTCCATCTGCATTTCAAACCAAGGCTGCAGTCTGAAGAGCTCTGACAGCGGCCCCATCCTGCAACGCCAGCCAGGAGGATCCTTTCAAAAGTCTTCTGGGTGCTGTTGCAGCTACCACCATGCAGCATGCAACGGCGGGAGATGGCAGGGCCAGCGGTCCGCTCACCCCTTCTGGGGACAGCTCCGGTAGCAACACCACGGGCCTGGCCCAGGGGGTCCCCTGAGGATCGAGACAGGTCACCCCACCTGCATCCAGACAGGGGATAGGGCTGGGGACTAGCAGAGGGGCCAACAGGCTGGTGCATGCTTTGAAAAGAAAGGGATCACATGCTAGATGGTGTCCCACGCCAGTGCCACTCATTTCTCGCCCAATGGGAAACCGAGTCACTAGAAAGCCTTGAAATTCACCACCTTCCAGTGGAAGCAGAAACCAAAAAGCAACTTGATGCACAAAAGTGCATCTCACTAACACACTTCACAACCTAGAGCACAAGGGAGCTCTGGACCCCAGCTGTAGCCAAGAGGGTGTTTAAAAGAACCTGCGTTCTTTCTAAACGGCTAAGCAGAAATGAGCCGGTTTCTCGTCCCCCTCCGTCATGCTTGCAATGCATTGTTCACCTGCCTCTGTGCCCCGTGGAGGGGCTGGACATGCTTCAGGATGCAAAGGGCTTTGTAATGGAAATGTAAAATATTCAGTGTTATTTACTGATAACGTGCTGTACCCACAGACAGTGCTTGTGTAGTAACGTTATCCCTGGCGGTCTCTTCATTGTAATTAGTCACAGCCTGATTAATAGAATCCTAATTCATTCCATTGACACGTTACAGGAGTTTTGTATTTGTCTCATATTACTGTGTGGACATCACACCTTCCCTTGGAAATAGAAAAACTGCCATCGCCCACGCTCAGACATTGCCGCCCTGGGATGCGTGGAGAGCCGTCCATACACACAGACTGCAGTGCATTGCATTTCATTCTGGGATTATGAACATTTCATTCTATTGATCTTAGAGAGTGTTTATAGGGGTTTCAATTCCCAGAGTAACGTCAGGTTCTATACGGTTTTGCACAAGGCAGTCTCACAACAGGAAACTAATCTTGACAAATGACCAGACTTTGATATCTCTGATCTAAAACACTGCTCATTAGACTGCTCATTTTATAAACGAATGGCAATAAACCTGTTGAGAAGCCTAGGATAGCAGGAATACGTTACAGATCACCCTCTACAGGTTTCAATCAAAGCAATAAATTTGAGGCGTGACATGTGGATGTTCTGTGCTGAGACAAAGACTATGCCCCATGCTAACCACATTTGGAGAAATGGTTCTTTTGCCTTGCCGTACATTTTACAAATAATTTACATAACTCTGACTTTTTACCCCCATTGCTGATTATCTCCAGCTCTCTCAAGTTAACATCAAACCTCAAAATCCTTGGACTTGTTAAAGTATGCAGAGAGTGGAAATCAAATGCCTTTATTAGAAGCCCCAGGAAATCTCTGACTCCTAAGCACAACGAAAACATTCCAAAGAAAATTGTTCAAAGAAGACAAAGGAGAAAAGCAGAACAAGAAAACTTTGTTTTGAATCAATGATTGGAAGAGTTTTATAAATAAGTTCTGTTGCCTGGACAATTCTGAAAGACAACTCAATAGTTTTGGGGGTTTTCTAAGTGTATTTGCATCTACGTCCGAAACACTTAGAGGATTTAGCTGAGCTTGGAACAATAGACTGGTTTGTTCACTTGAGTATTGGTAATAATCACTGTGAAACAACCTTACAGTATTAGAAAGCAAAACACATGCTGCATTTTAAAATGGCTGCACTGAGCAAATGAATGGAATATACATTGTGGGGACAACGAAAGGTTTGATACGCATGGTCCTGTCTTTAAACAGTAGATGCAAATGTTCTCTAGCGGAAGTAGCTATTAAGATTTTATTTGTTAGGATATCCCTGTGAAGTCTGGCTGATTCAGTAATCCTTACAAACACAACCACAGTTATATGATCCATTGTGCCTTCCTGCATAGGGCAGAACCATCTGGTGTTTAATATGTACCACTGATTTATTATCTCTAGCGGAGTTATCTTGCTTTAAATTTGACCCTGCTTGGCTCCTGAGAATCACTGTTCCGCTGTTTACTTGGGTAATGTCCTAACAACCTGCCCTTTACCTTTCTGTTGCTTCACCAGAGCTCTTAATTTCCTTCTGTTTGCAGGCAAATAGATTTTAATAGTTTTATTATAACTAATTTATTATGAGCGAAGAGATCTCAACGTACAGTGTAAAATTTGCTGTTCAAATTAAGTGTGGTTCAAGAGGTTTTTTAAACAAGACAGAGTCATAAAAATAGACTCTCAGTCAATTTGTTTATTTGGATTTCTGCAGTGAAGCAATAAATAGGAAGTTATTAAGACATTTGATGTACACTAGATGACAGATGCTGCTCTCTGACTATCAGGGACTTTAAATAATTTTCCTTTCTGTATAGTTCTGACATTCACTGTTGGAAAAAAATAGAACAGATTGCTAAGCTTATGTTTATGTAATAATTATGCAAAGATCATGGTCACTGCTTTTAGTAAATAATACAAATAACCTTTAACGCTGGCACACTGGTGTGTTGATAATGATTTTTGTATGTATACATCCATGCCAACTGAGCATTTAATTGGTATTCACATTATATGGTTTAAAACTGGTCAGAACTCCAGTAGGATTGGCTTTTCACAACTGAATTTTATTAAGAGAGAAACTAAATGCTGAATGATATTCCCTCAACTAGCTCTGTTATTCATACTTCAGCCCTACTCTACATACAGCTCAGAAACACCACATATGGTTCAGAAGAACTTCAAAAAAATATAGTGTAC